TACCCGCGAGGCACCGATTTACTCGCCAGTTTTGGGTGAAATTGTTTTCAGTGTGCCTTCCTCTGAACATCTGAGAATTCTAATAAAAGCCCCAGTCACGTTTGTGCTACAAAGATTAACATGTCGGGAAATGAGTTCAACTGTGTATAATTTGGTCATTTGAGAATAAAGGCTTCCAAAAATAGCAGCGGTATTTAAATTTAGCATGGTGGTGACCTTCTGTTGGTGTTGCAGCGTGTTATTTGTTATATAACCTTACATTTAATTCTGAGAAATATGCTGGTGTGATGTGTTCTGATGAACACGGAGAGTCATCGAGGTCAAGAATAGCCGGGAGTGGATAAGGAACATCTGCATTTACCTACATTTTCAAATTTCATCATTAAAGGTAGTGTGCCACCTTCCAATGATTTCCCATTTTATTTTTCCTAGGATAAGAAGCTTCTGTTTTTACCTAATATCGCAAAAAATGGGCCTAAAATAGTGATTTTTCGCCTAAAAGTTTATCGGTTTTTCGATACGTATAACAACTGTAGTGGGCTGACCTGCAAACAGGGACGCCGGTGAAAACAGGGCGCCGGAGGGCATATGAGTCACGTGACATTTGGAGCTTCTCCCTCTTCGTGGGCCTTCTACATGCTAAACGTCACGTGTAAATTTCACGAACCTTGATCAAATAGCCCCAGGCGCCCTGTTTTCACCGTCGTCCGCAAACAGGCGTCGGCAACAATCGTGAATGCGGCGCACATGTGACAATAAGCAAAGGTCATTATAGAGTTACGACGCACGGGAATGAGTTATCAGCTGTCTAATCGTAGACAACACAATGTCGAATTTAAACTGTAAGCCTGTATTGGTATTGTTTCTTTAATTTGGCTGTCGAACATTAATTTATGGTTTGAAATATTATTTTATGTAAAATAATTGATATGAAACAGCCGTCTCTAAAGTTATGACCCCATCTCACCACATGAAAGTGACAGTAATGACAATGATCAGCTGACGCATTTTTCTTGGCCGAAGTCAGAGCGCGCGGCCCGACGCACCACCACCGCGCCCAAAGCCAGGGCCCCGGTAACGTGTTACGTGAGGTAGCCGAGTCGGGGCAGCGTGCGCTGACCCAAGCCGGGGCCGCGGCTTTGGGCGCGGTCTACCGCATCCCCGGGCAGCCCCGGGCTATCACATGACACCGGGAGGACGCACAGCCCCGGCTTGGGTCAGCGCACGCTGCCCCGACTCGGCTACCTCACGTTACCGGGGCCCTGGCTTTGGGCGCGGTCTACCGCACCACCTAACAGGCGTGATCGAAACCGCAGGAGATGATGATGAACGGGTTTATCGAAACTTGATTGGATGAGCCTATCGGTAATAGCGATTTCAGTGTGTGCATTTATTGTTCATAGTGGTGTGAAATGTGGTTGGGGTACGACCGACAACCCTTCGGGGCGAATTTCGCACTGGAGTACTCAAAATTTGAAGAATTTAAGACGTTTCCATGAGTTTTGAGGGTATGGATAAGTTCTAAAAATCCGGTTCTCCCTCGCCCATGTAGGGGGGGGGGGGTTGGTGCAACCCCCCTGAGGTTTTTCTTAGCTACACGCCGAACCGTTTCAGATAGCCTGCTCAAATTTTCAGTACCCTTTGGGGCATCCTTTGCGCAACTTTTGGTAATTTTTTTTTGTCAAGGTCATGTCAGGTCACGGAGTTATGACGTCATAAAGGGAACAACCTCCGGCCAGATTTACGCTAAATTGGAGATTGCTTCACATTGGTATAAACTATAAATGCCGACTGACCTGACACACTGATGGATTGTTTTAGAATCACAACTGGCTGATTTGACATTGGCACAATGTCCGTTGACATTTTGAAGGTTACTAAAGGTCAAGGTCAGGTCAGTGACCTCGGTTGACCTGTAATGACTTATTGCACTTGTATGCCTTTTCGGGGTATTTTGATGCCCTGAATTCGAATTTGCTATCCATTGCAGGCATCGTCGGTTGTTTTTTGTAGTTCATTTTGGGTCAGGGTCAGGTCAGTGACGTCACACGCCTGACGTGACCCAATGCACAAATGACCTTGCAGACTTCCGATGCTCCCAACGCATCATTTTTAGAGTTATGACATCGAAATATACACCAAACGATAGAGAATTGATCAAGGAATAAGGATCACGATAGTGAAGGTTTCAAGTCGATATCTCTTACCGTTTTGCCGCAATCGGCGCGGAAATCTGAAAAAGTTAGATTTTTCCGAAAATTTGACCTTTGACCGGTCATAAGTAGGTTAAATTTTGACCTAGGACCAAAAAATATACCACCAATCGCGAGATCTCGTTGAGAGCAATCCGTTGGTCTTTTCCGCTAAGCTCTACGACGCTCCGTTTTCAAACGCCAGGGGGGGTCGCACCAACCCCCCCCTGCATGGGCGAAGGTGGCAAAACACCGTTTACGGGCGAGGGTTAACTGTACGGTCCAGGAAAGCTGGCACACTACTTTTAAAGGGAGATAATGAGCTTTCTTTTTTCTTGAATAAAAATTACTCGATATCTATACTATTTCTTCTGTAGTTTCTATAAAATATGAAAATTTCCTAGCACATTTTCGTATGTGAAAAAGGTTTTTATTTTTGCAAAAAAGAAGCAGTACTTGCAGTACTTGTAACACCCACCGAAATGCGTTGTCCTTCTCTATAAAAAAGTCGCAGTATATGGCGCTTTTGTTTCAAACAGCGACGCTTGGGTTTTTGTTTATGTTATCGCCTTGTCGTTGCTTGGTTGTAAGGATTCTAATTTGAATTAGAGTTAATTCGGTTTAGAATTAATTAGATTCTAATTCGGGGGTACATAGTGCCTACTCTTCTTTGTTTCCAAGTATTGTTTTGCGCCACAAATGAACGGCATGCGCCAGAAACGCAGCCAAATCTTGCGATTGCGACTACGAAATTGATTATTTTGGCGTCAGAGCCTGAAGCGAAAAATACAAGCATATTTATTTCAAAAAGACTTCAGGTTTGTCGAACGGTGTTATGAGAATTTTGACAACAGTACTGCATAAGTTTTTCAGTGATGCCGCAAAAGTGTTGTATCTATCTTCTTTTATTGTGCAGTCGGCGGGACCGACTCAAAATTGAGTCGTTGCTACTAAAATAGCAGCATATGGCGTCAGATGATGAACAGGAAAAATAGTTGCGTAAATTTAGACATAAACCACCCCCAAACCATGAATATCTTTTGAAGGCACTATAGACGACCATTAACTAACTAGGGGAAGTTGGGGGAACGCCGAATACTTTTTTTCTGACGCCCGTAGCACGCAAGGTAGACAACATAAGCTATTCTTGTTGGCGTCATTCGAGAGGCCAGTCTTTTGCCTTTCAAACATACCAGGCGCATTTGATGAATTCGCATACCGTTAAGCGCACAAACTAAAAATATCAAAGAAGTGATTTTTTCGGCGTTGCCCCGGACTGCGGGGAAAGCCGAAAATGGGAGAAATGATCTACGGGGAATGCCGACATTGATGTTTTGCCACTTTATCTCAAACTTTATCCAGAATTTATCAAAGCTGACACGCGTTTTAAGAGCTTGAGGACGCTTGGTGCACACTGGAAGTTATAATTGTGTGATATAATAAGAAAATGCCAGGTAAATAATTCCTTATAGGTAACAGGCCGTTGTGTCGGTTGAAAGTGTAATTTGTGTGACTAAAAATTCGCGTTGCTATTCTTCAGCAGTAAAGTCCACGTAGCGTGCTTTAACGTGCGTAATTGCACGTTTTCGGCATTACCCCAGCCAGCCATACTTTCATTTGCAGGCCCATAACTTTTCAACGTGCCGTATAAATTTCAAATAGGCAGCACACTTATGCAAAGACATGCTGAAGATTACTTGACCGAATTGGCCAGACAAACGGTAGCATAATGAGTAAGAAATGCAGCTTCAAAGGCGCATGTAGTACAAGGAACGCGTACCTTGAAAACGCTCTTGGCGCCCTCACAGCCGAAGTATTCCGAATGACGACTCGTAACAAACATGCGATAATTGTAGTCACTTAAGCTTCAGGGCATCACTGACAGGTGGCATCCATGTCTTACGGTTTTCGAAATATCTCGAATTTCGGCTTTGCCCCAACTCCGGCATTGCCCCAACTTCCCCTAGATGTGATGAAGATCAAATGTAAGGAATACGCTCATTTTACAAAATTACATGCAAGTACCAAAAAGTGATGTAAGTACTTATTCAACGGTCATTTTCAGCGCTCCCCGCTAACGTGACTTCAAGTTGAGATATTTGCGGCAAGGTACCGAATTGAGCAAAATGGTTTTAATTTACATTATAACTTGTTGTGTTTTGTCAGAAAATGGTCCTAACGCAGATTTTGTGGGAAAAGGTCATTATCTCCCTCTAACGCCCTAGCTCAGGCGCGTTACACCCAGGCTTCGTCTTCATTGTGGCATGGTGTTTGTGTGAAGATGGGGATGAGTCGAAACATGTCGAAATTGATGCATGGCTAATTTAGTAACAAGGCCGTACTTAAATAAAACATAAGAATGGATTTAAAATCAAAAATACTTAACTTTTGCAGATAAATATCGTCATTGCCAATCACGCACGGATCACCGGATTCATCGGCAGTTAGTCCTGCTGTGCTAAACCGGAATGCATTGATCTTTCGCATTCTTTTTAGTCTCCTTATCTCAAAACATACCAGAGCTTTGATATGGCCAACGTCTAATTAAATAATCAATGTTCTGCAATGAGCAGATAATAGCTCATTTTAATATCGCATCGAACTTCGACTGAGTAGTACATCCGCCAGCCCAGACTCACAGTTTCAACCCCATGACCTTATCAGCTCACCAGTCTGTGTCTCACCCTATTGCATCACGTGACGGCTCTCCCCTCAGTGCGGTCACGTGACCGTCTGGCGGTCTCGTTCCGTCGCCTCTGGGCGCGTGCCACCGTCACCGGCAGGTCTCAGCGCCAGCGGGACAGAGCGGCCGCCAGCTCGCGCGCTGATTGGCTGGGCGAGCGGACGGCTCTCATTCACCGGAGCGGGGCGGACGAGCGCGGCCGCTAGCTCGCCCGGCGCCGGCAGTCGACCGCGTGTGCTCGCCGGGGAGGGTGTGTCGTGCCTGCGCTCAGAACACACACCAGTGAGAGACGAGAGGGCGTGCCGAGACTGATAGCGATGGAAGGAGACAGGATGTGGCTACTGGCGATAGCGCTCCTATCACTGCTGGGCTCAGGTGAGTTATCATCGGTGCGAGGTGACGTGGAATGTTTTATGGTGCGATGATCGGAAGTTGGTGAGTCTCTGTTAATTTACTTTATTGGTAAATGACTGGTGAAGGCAATGGTGTTTTTTTCATTTTATAGGAGTTAAAAAAATAAAACGTATAATCTTTTTATTTAAATGCAATGAATTACAGATGTGCCACTTAATTTTGCACAACTAATTCATAATTGAGACTTATCATTGATCAATACTCATGAGGATTCCAACTGCGTTCATCCTTTTGTTCTTGCTCCAACTGCTTCAAAGCCATTCTGCAGCTTAAACAAAGTCTGCAGTCATCACTCGACAAAAACCGATGACTGCGCAGCGAGCACTCATAGTAAAACTGACGCGAACAATAGTGAAAGGCTGCTGTGTTACCGAATGACGCAGTGAGTTCCGATCGCCTCTCATCTCCTCCGCAACAATCGCTGCCGCCGCCGTCAACAACCAATAACCAGACACTCAAATAACCAGCAACAATGCGCGCTGTGGCCGCGGTACCCAGCGGTAACCCACGCCGGCCGACCGCCGCCCGGTTGCGTGCCGGTCACCACACGCAGACTGTATTGTCGGCCGGACCGACCCGTGAGCCCAGCACCCGCTGATGAAGGACATTGTCTCTGTGCGCCGTGGGAAGAGGCCCACTCAAAGTGGCCAATTTGCCGTGTCTCCGAGGGCTTTGTCAGCGCTTCACGGGCGGTCTGCTTTGGCCGCGGGCGCCGCCGCTGTGACCTCTGCGACTCGTGGGTGACCTGCGGCTGACCTGAGCTGACCTAGTGGTGACCGAGCCCTGACACGTCGCCCCCTCTCTCTCTCGATGGTCTCACATCGTGTGACACGCGTTAGAAAGTCGGACTCTATCCGATGTGGAGGTTTCGGGCACTGAAGAGCGACGATCCAATGGTTCGCTGACCCGCATTGCACAACATTTTGTGACGCTGCTTGTAAGAGGCTTGCGAGCTTCTATCTTAAATGTCACCGTGATATGACCCAGGCGTGTCACAGTCCAAGGCGTTGCGTGAAATTCGCCGCATCATTCCCAACCTGCATGTCGCAAATCATCAGCGGCATCAACCCAATTTCCCTTTCCTGTTGTGAATCAGCGTGCCACAGCTCTGTGGATGAAACCACAATAGAAAGGTCGTCCCGCTGTCCCGCATCCAGCCCTGCGCCGCGCCCCCGCAGGTCACGGAGAGGGAGGTGACACTCGCGAATTCCCGACTCCACGGCTCTGCATGACAATGACGACACCTGCCGCAGCGCAAGACATCAGTGATGTCATTCGACGCAGGTGGAAGTCGCATACCGTTACGCGATCAGCAGACAAAAGTGGACTCGTGCTGCTGACTTGTGATAGGCGGCCAATGTCGGTGGCCGCATGCCAGCTCAGGTGCAACGGGGTGTCCAAACAACATGTTTGCATGGCGAGAGCCCCCTCCCCTCGCTGCATCATAGGTCAGATCACCCACAGAGCGATGGTGCAACAATGCAGCACGGACAATGTGCGGGAGGGTTGGTGAGCGGCTGCAGTGCGGCCCGCCCGTGCGTGGTCAGGGCTGACGTGCACCCTCACTGATCAAACTCGACCTGTGTGTGCCGTACGACCCCAGCCGCTCAGGGAGCTGGTCGGTTTACTACGGTCCACACGCTTAGCTCGGGAGTGGCCGGGCCTCTCCAGAAAGCAGCGTGGGGCTCTCCGGGCCTTCCCGCGCTGATCTCTGGTTATGCTGACACATCCAGTTGACCAACATGTTTGAGCGTGCCAGCTTCCGCGGCTTGTGAGTCACCGCTGCGCGCCCGAGACGACTCCATTCGGTGACATTCACCGCCACCGGTGACAGCTCACCGGCCATTCGGTGACATTTCCACCGCCATTTAGCGCCATTAGCCTTGCGTTAGGTGGCTGTAAAATTCCTCCGATCGGGCATTGTGCCGTGCTATTGTTGGAGCCCGGCTGGGTTTCCACAGTCAGTCGGCGGCAGCGGTGCTCTCGGCGGCGCGGTGCCGTCACCGGCCTTCTTTGTGGGGAGTCGCGGCGGGGCACTTCCGAGGGGACGGGCGGCGGCGGCGCCTTGTTAAAACACGCCAAACACCCCGTCACAGACGGCGGCGGAGGCGGAGACGAGCTGAAGGGTGCGCAGACGGCGCAGCACAGAAGCATAATCCGATGCCGAAAGGGGACGGTGGCGGGATTATCCGCACGGTATGCGACAAACATGGATGAATCCACGGCCGTCAGGATCAATACTAATTCCGGTTTTGGCGGCGATCACAAAAACCCACCATCGCGCTCCCCCGCTCCTCCGCTCCGTTTTATTTTTTTGTTCGGTGTATTTTTCTCGAGCCCAAGTCGTAGATCTCGTATCGACATCCGCCTGGTTCGCGTCACATCTCACGTGCGTCCATTAGGCCTATCTCGTTACTGTCCAATAATTGGTCTACGAGTCACTCGGCGGCCGGCCTGTGGAGCGTTTGTCTTCACGCTTTCTCGCGGGGCAGGTGTCGCGCGCCCGGAGAGGCCGTGGGTGGTCCAAACCGGGAGCGACCCCTCACCGGCCGGAACGGCCGCCCAGTCGCTGATTTTTCTGTGAAACGGGGAGGTGGGTAAAGGGAGGGAGGGAGGGAGAGAGAGAGGCGGAGACCGAGAGGTGATCCATCACGAAATGTCACCGTGCCGGACACTGCGGAAACGGCTTACCCCTTTCAGTGCCGTCAAAGTCCGCCGTCGTTTGTCCGCGCGGGTCACTCCGGGTGGGACCGATCTGACGTATCGGACCCGCCCACGGGGTATTTGTCCGGCCACCCACTGGGCGCGGCAGTCCGGCGGACCCTGTCCATCGTCACCCCGGCATTTGATCGTGGGAGCGGATTTGGCATCCAACCCGCCCGTGCCGGTCGCCAGGCAGCCGGCCAAGTCGCGCCTTATTACGGCGAGCCATTTCGGGATTGATCAATGCGCTGATTGGCGCACGCCATGACTGCTTTGGGCTGTTTTATTCAGCGACGCGACTTCTCAGCCCGTGTGACCACCGGTGAAATCACTCTGAGCCGTGTACCACTCGTCAAATAAAGCTGAGAAGCGTGGGCTGAACACTCAGATTTATTGCCATCTTTAGATGGCGACGGTGGGCTATCCGAGTTTTTATTCAGTCCCTGGCCCGGGATCCTTGGGGTCTTTGGCGTTCCCCTGAAATATTACGATTATGCGAACGCGACTGAGGAACGCTTTCGGTCGACCCTTTTGTCCGACAGTGGCGTGGAAGGCTCCTTTTTTATTCAGAAACCACGGCTCGGTGGCTCCCAATGGCCTATCCCCGTGCCATTTTCGAACTGATCCGGACAGGAATGCCACCGTCTTCGGTGCCGATATTCACAGGAATCCGCTGCTATGAGCTTCGGTAATAACAGACCGCATTCTAAATGCAAAACCCTGAGATGCTCGAGATAATTTCATGCTAATCTCACAATTGGCCGGCCTAGTTGCCACGCAAGCCTAGCGGGCGGCTACTGATGGTAAAACAGGGACTTTGAACAGCAGCCTTGTTTTCGCCGATGTGAGGATAAAACTAAAAGCCTTCCTTCGTTTCCCACCTTGTGACTTCTGTATCTGTGATGAAAATCGTGATGAAGGACACGGAGATGTCTGTATTTTCTCCGGGTGTGACGCTACACTCGGACTATCTATCTCGGCTTGTTCTGAGGTGGCGGCGATCTGTCTGATCTGCCAGATTTTCAGCGGCCGCGGCCGCCGGTCCGTGACAATCCAAAAGGCACTGGGGATCAGACGCGGTCCTGTGATTCCTCAGGATGATCCCCTAGACGGCGACCGCTTTCTCACTTTATGGAACATTGGCGTATTTTTGCGGCTTATCCTTCCTAACGGCCGACGATTGAAGTTCCAGGAAAATTCCGAACCGATAGCTGCTCATTGAAAGCTCCGTCTTTCAGCGAGTCACGTCCGTCGGCGGCCGGGACGATCGTTACTCTTCGCGACCTCCCCTCGACCGTCAGTCCTCAGTCCTCGCCTCTCCCTCACTTTACCCCACCGCGGACCGTCCTCTGGGCATCTCCGGTCTTCCAGACCCCGTGCTTATCGGCGCCAGGCGCCACGCCGGACCGATTTAGTGTAAAATTACCGCCGGGCCGCCACGGCACCGTGCCGGCACGATAACATTATCTCCGCTGGTCGTTACCGATGGCAGAGCGACCACGCCGACCAGCTGCTTCTGAGCCCTACCTGCGGCGCTCTGGGGCACGTGCGTCGGCGGCGCGCGGAGGGTCGCGGCGCCCCGCTGCTGACTGGGAGCGGCTGGTCCCCGCGCGAGGCCGTCGGATCGCACCTGCCTAGCCCCGGGTAATGATCACTGGCTATAGACCGGACGGCCAACCCGCCGGACGGCCGCCTCATAACCATAAACAACCTGTGTGCATTCCGGCTCGAATCGGAGCCCCATTTGGAAACTCAAATACCAATGAATCGTTTAAAGTTGTGAAGAAAAATTGTTCAATAAATATGGTGCGATTCGTTACAGAGTGTAACGAATTTATCATTTATCACACCATGGATATGATAAACTTTGTACCCCTTTTCAAATTTCACAGGAACATGTGGAAAATCACCTAAGTCAACATATTAGAGTTGTTAGTTTCACAATTCTCTCTGGTCATTCAGGGCGCCACATGTGCCGCGCGCCTGTCGGCCTTCCGTTCGGGGGCGACACGCGTCGTCCGGTGCTCCCCATCAGGTGACCGGGGTGCCGCCGTCCGGCCGTGGCGCCGGACCGACATCTGCCCGACCAGCCGTGGCCGTCCAGCTCGCCCCGGAGGCACCGTTTCCTGTCCGGGAGCCTCCCCGCACTCCCAGATTAGCCGCCTCACTTTAAAGGGACGGAAATGGAAGCCAGAGAGCGGGGCGGCCGGAGACAAGGGGTGCATCTGATCCTCTCGACCCCAGCGTCGGACGGAGCGGCCCCCGTCGGAGGCGACACAGCGCGCCCCGCCGGGGAGCGCTGAACCCTCCCACGTCCCTTCGGAGGGGGCGAGAGGCTCCGGTGTCTCTCACGGAGGCGCCGACACGGCGAACGACAATGATCACATGCGAGAAGGCCGGCGAGTAAATTGGCCTCGTACCCGATCATCTGGCGGTGGTAGTATTGTGCCGGCTGGGAATTGGTGTAATTTACAGTTCATTGCGGCGCTGGGTAGTTAGTACCCCATCGGCGGCGTTCTTGTGTCCGACACGGCGAGGGTTCCCACAGTTGCCGGTCACATGACTCCATCAGCACTCGGTGAGTAGTCCCGGTGAAATATCGCTGCCTTATCGCCGGCTGGCCGCCACCGGTTGGCGATGTTCACAGCCGGCCCGCTCCGACCGGCCGGGCGCCGCCGCCGCGAGCGGACAGAGATCGCCCGCTCTAGTGGCCGAAAGCTGCGAGCCGCCGCGGGCGCCGCCGCCGGCCGCTCCGCTCCGCCCGCCATTGTGGCCGGCCGGCTCCATTTGTCCCGTGGTTTGGCAATCTGGGTCGGTGGCGCGGGCGGCGCCGTTTTGTGACGCGCTGTGACTCGCCGCCGGACGTCATCGCTCAACCGAGCACGTGACATCGCGCCGAAATCGTGTCGGTCGCGGCGAGAAAGCCGCGGCACGGATGCCGCCGGCTCGCCGACCGTGCAGTTCGACATACGGCGCACCAGATGTGCCAACGATTTGTGGCTTTCGCGCCCGGCTTTGCGGGCTTACCGCAGCTGGTAGCTACACTTCTAAAGCGCCTGCAGGTGCGGGGGCGCGGAGACGCAACAAGGGGATTGTTTTGGTAAACTTTGCGCGAACACAGCCCCGCATCCTGTCTCGGCTGCCTCTGAAGATCGTTCGGTTTCCCACGATTCCCCAAAGAGCACCTGGTGGCCGCGCCATCACTCCCACGACGTCCGTTGACCTGTCGTTTGTCAGCGGGATGCCCATTGTTTGTCTGAGCGGCAGGCGTCCTCTGTCCGCTGATGCGCGACTGTCACGTACCGTCGGCCAAGCCCGAAGTGGCGAGACTCGAACTGATCCAGAGACCGACCTGGCGCTGTGTGGCTGCCGCTGCCAATCTGAGTTGGCGGCCACCTGACGCGAATCGAAGGGCGGCACGGGACCGGCCGGCCGGCCAGCCGGGCGGCGGCGCAAGGTGCGATTTGCGCGGTGGAGCGTAGCTCCGCACCGGCCGTTGTCTGAAGCTGGGCTCGTGCTCCCCTTTCGCTGCGCCACATCAGTTTCACCGGGGGAGCGTGAGTCAACATCCCCGGCGCTACTAATGGGGAGCAGGCCGAAACACTCTGGCACGTGGCCCGCTGGCGTGTGGGTGACGCCGCGACGTTTTTGGGTCGTTTCGACCGGCACTGCGGCAGTTTTTCGTACTCGCTGGGGCCCTTCCCGCTCATCTGGCTCCGATCGACGCTCACTTGGCGTGGCAGCGCCCGGGGGCAGGTGCAGCTCGCCCCAAACTTAGCCCGGACGACAAAAATGGCGGTAATTGACTGTCTCGCCCGGCGGCGCGGCGGCGCGCTGCCCCCTGCCCTGGCGAGGAAAAACAGCGTCCGCCGACGGAAGTGGTCGGTTCAGCCGTCACCTGCTCAGGCACCGACTCGCCTGGCTGCTGCCGGCCCCGGCCCACCGCCGAGGCTCGCCCGCCTGGACGGCGGCACCGCGCCGCGCACCGGGCAGACGCGGCGCGCGGCAAAAAGGCGCTCTTCCGTCGCCAGTAATTATGGGGACCTGGAGGAGGCGCCGGCCGCCGAACACCTCCTCGTGATCACCTCCGATGACCTGCGAATGGCCCGCGAGAGCCACGCACGAACGATCCTAGTCGAGTCGCTTCCACTGCTTCGGGGCGTGCCGAGTAAACCACATAAATCACAGCTCTGCGCGGCGGCGTGCGGCAGAGGGGGCGCACGGCACGGGGCGAGAAAGAAAGGCGGCCTCCGTGAGCGACACGTCAGTCCGGGCTCAGCGCGGATCTGTTTGAGCCGGGACGGGGCCGGCCGCAGACAGTCACCGCATCAGCGCCTTCATCTATCCGCCGGCGCTGATGAGAAATGATCTGGCCGCCCGGTAACGACTGAGCCGACCCGCCTGTGACTGTTGACGGCCCGTCTGTGGAGCTGTTGACGGCCCGTCCGCCGGGACGCTGACGGCTGCCACGCGTGGAGGCGGCCGAGTCCGTCCCGGCTGCCCGCTCAGTAATGATGCCAATTAGTCTTCGTCGACGGCCGCGGACGCAGCGGACGCAGCGGTCGGGTAGTGCGGCACCGTCTTCTCCCGAGGGAGAATGACTAATTAATCCACAATACAGCACCATCCCGTAGCTGAGATATTGAGGTTGACTCAGATATTTGGCTACATCATTCTGCCGAAATACTATATCTCTCGTATTAGATGATACGCGATATTAGCGGTATTTTTCGAGAGCTATCATCTAATTCGCTCACGTTACTACCATCCGCCACTACCAAACATCTGCCCGTAGTCAGGCAGCTGCTAACGGTCAGTGAGTTCAACCTTGCGACACGGGAAGTGCAGTTCAAAGTTGCTCAATTATCCCGTCACGGGCTGCGCTTCTACATAACCTTCCAGGTGCTGGCTCCGTCTCTGCGCAGGTGCACTGTCGGACTGGGCATAATTTGAGTCCGGAGCTCATTTTTTCCGAACCCTTGTCACGTGTCTTCCGGCGGAATTGGTGCCCACCCGTGACGTCAATTGGACGGCGAGACCGACCCACTGACGTCAGCATTCGGTATCAGACGCTCACACATGATCTCACTGTGCCAAAGCTGATAGTCAAAAACGTGCCTCGGCGGTGACTACAAGTCAGACGGCCACGAGGAATGCAGAGACTCGGGCCAATAAAAACGGCGCGTGCCGTGCGGCATTAGTCCCGCCGGAATCCGATACGTCTCGGAGACTGCATCGCGCACGCGTCCGGCAGGAAGCTAACACCGGTAACTTGAGCTCTGATAAGGAGCCTAGCACTCGCGGCGCGGCCAGAGCCACAACAGCCTCTGTGTGACGGGTGCCGTATCTCTCTCTGTGATGTGCGCCGTCCCTGAGTGAAGTATGCCGCGATGACTTTCTCGTTTATTCAGCTCACGTTCGTTTGTTTGGTTTTCTCACACCGAGGTGGATTTTCTGTCAACACTACGGTTCTTTTATCTCCCATTTCCAATTCACAACTGGGCATTAATTATTCGAGAAAAACACCAGCTGTGGCTGATAACCGATAACTAATCCGATGCGTTCTCTTCTTTTCAGGCTTCAGCGAGTGCTACTTTCCGTTTGAATATCACGGCACCTACGCCGTTCAGAGCGCGGAAAACAAGTACTCGGAGGTGCTGATCGAGATCAACCAGATTCTGCCATATGGTGTCTGCCACGCAAGAGTCGGCAACAACCTCATTCTGCGTGACGAGTAAGTTGGAGCTGAAGAGGCCCGTCCCGCCCCGAAATCCATTAGTGGGTTAGCGTCAATTATCGCCGCTAATGCCCCGGTCATCTGTATATTCCGGCCGGGGAACGCGACACATGTCACCGCGAAGGCGACCAGCGCCGAACCATTAGCGCCCGAGACGACTGTATTTCTGCGTCAGTAATGATCACGTCTCCCGGCTCTAATGTCTCACTGCCGGGAGTCCTTCTCACACGGGGCTACCATATGCCGCCGTGCCGATCGGAGCTGCCCAATACCGTGCGATCGGCGGGTGTCATCTGCCCGCGGCGGCGGCTTCCGGTCCCCCTAGCAGAGAGGGCCGGCGCGGCGGCCGTCCGGCCGTGTTTAAAGGCCCGCGGACGGTGGCACGCCGGCCAATTTGGCCAGTAATTGGCGGCGGCGGGAGGCTTTGTCGGAGAGCCGGCGGGTCCATGTGTTTTACGCCCGGTTCTCACGGGTTGGCGGGTGCTTCTGGGTGGCGTGGGCGGCTCACCGGGGGGACGGCGACACATGTCACCACAGAGCCGCTCCCCGGCGGGAGGGTTCCGGTGCGGACGGGGGACGACACCCGCCCGGCGACCCCCGCCGAGAAACTACCCTTCTGTGGCTCTTCGCCGCGGTAGGCATGCTTTCACACCATCCTCTCTCTCTCTCTCTCTCTCTCTCTCTCTCTCTCTCTCTCTCTCTCTCTCTCTCTCTCTCTCTCTCTCTCTCTCTCTCTCGCTCTCTTCCTCTCCTTCCTTCTTCATTTTCTCAGCTACTGTCACTCTTTCTTTTTCTCCCTCTCTATATTCTCATTTAATATTCACGACGCAGTCGATAGCCGTTCTTGCGCAGGTCGTAGATTCTCGTCTGTTTTGTCGGTGGTGTTTTCGTTACTGCCTGCTGTTTGTTTTGTCGGAGGCATTGACGGGGCACCGATCAGCCCCTGGTGACACGGGGAGCAGCTCCGTCACTTACCGACCCAGCAGTCGGCAAAAAGTGCGCCACATTCCGACCTAACTGCTGCCGTCCGGTGTGTGTGTGTCTGTCTGTGTGTGTACCCACGGCCGGTGGCGGCTCGCCGCTCCGTAATTTGTCCCCAAATGATACGCCGGCCCGGCGGCAGCGGGCGGCGGCCGTCGGGCGGCGGTCGGCGGCGGGAGCGGCCGGCCCGCCCCGTGGGAACAGTCCGGGACGGCCCTTCCGGCGACCGATGCATCAAAGTTGCGGTGGCGGCGATCAGAAACAATTAATTACCGGCTGCGACCGGGCGCCGAGTTGTTGTTGACCGTCGCAGTGTTGTGGCGCGGCGATCAGACGGCAGCCCAGATTCTCACGGATGGACACGACCACCGCGGCGCGGGTCCTGCAGGTCCCCGGGGACCCACGGCCCACTAATCCGAGCGAATCTGAGGGACCCCGCGGGCTGCCGGCCCTCCCAGCACGGGAGCCGGTCACAATACGTCCATTCTGGGTCATCAGGGCGATATCTGTATCTGAATGGTAGTCGCTGACAGTGTATTGTGCTCGCTAACAAGTAAAAGTGGCCCTTCCCCTGACTAATTGTGTTTGCTGGGTAGGTCATGTTTGTTCTGCCTGGAATAGCGATACGTCATTGAGCACTCCAGTCACGTCAGTAAGGGCCTGGGCATACATAGTCGGACAGCTGATGCATGCTAATAACCCGCCATTCATACGTTGTGAACAACCCTTGCCAGACGCCTACAAACAAGCCGGTTCCCACGGGTGAAAATGTCATTCACACCTACTTTTACTCCGGCACTTTTCCAGACAGCCAGGGCAAGCTTTTCCTTACGGATAATTACACCCTACAATGAACAGCTCGCTCGTTTCCTCTTTCATTTGTCAGTATCGCGGCTGGCCTGACTTCATTAGTCATTGAGGCTGAACGGCGGTGTCTACATCATAATCCCGTGCTCGCTCTAATGCTTGCCGAGTGTTCACTCTGCTTTCTTTCTGTTCGCAGGAGTAACGGGTGTCTGCGCTGCTTCCACCTGGCGATCCGCTCGGCCAATGTCCTGCAGCTTCACACGCGGGACCCCCAGAGCAGCTGCGCCACCCACATTGACAACACGTTCAAACTCTGCCCCACCGTGGAGGAGATGAGCTCGCCGGCCAAGATGGAGGAGAGCCACGTCCACGAACTCATGATGTACAGTAAGTAGAACCGCTATCTCTTCCTGACACCTTGTCGCGGAGTGGCGCGTCGAGTCACCGCGGACAATGGCGACGCCAAATCGCTAAAGCGGCGTCATGCTCCCATCTGGTGCGGCCCGGAACGTGCCGACTCACTGCTCCGATTGACCCGTCTGGAGGGTGCGTGCCTGCGTCCGGACAGGCGCTTGCGCGTTCATCCCGCCGTGTGCCACAGAGACCCACTGTGCGTGCTGAGAGCGGAGGGACACGCCGCCGCCTGCAGGAGCGCGGCGGTGACTAGTCGAAATCGGGGACCAATCAACGAACAAAGGCGGCGCCTTTGAAACACGTGCAGTAGCGACATCGGCGCTTCTGGTCCCTTCTAATCACCTTTTCGTGCATTTGTTAGATCTGATGCCGTGTGTACTGTGTAGTATTTACTTTCCCAGAACCGCGGCGTATGGGTCGCCGGTAAGCCGCCGCTATTGTCACGACTTCGTGTAATATCGCAGACAAGTGGCGCCTCCCTGAGGATTATCTGCTTACAACTTCACCGTCGGAAAGCCAGAAAATCTGCCGTAGCAGTCCGCATATTACGTCCCGAAATGTTTCTCTTCCACCGACGCGTGAACGCAGATTTGTCTCGCGGTTGCGGAACACTGCAAAAAGCTACGCGATTAAATATCGTTCGATGTTCGGCACACGTTAACGAGTTGTTCGCAACGCAGCAGGATGTGCGTGGTAACAAGCTTACTGGCGGCCTGCTGCGACCTTCAGGCCGCTCTGCAAACGGCCCGACGGATCACCGGTACGGCTGCGTGCACGAATCGTGCACGACTTACGGTGCACGAAGGCGGCACGACGTGGCCCAGAATGTGGGAGAGGGTGACGTCGGTCTCGGGTCCTCAGCGGCGACCAATTACGGCGGCCGACAGTGGGACGTCTTCTCACGATGACCGGTCACGTTTCGGCGTCTGTGAGTCGTCTCTGGAGAGAGTGACTCCTGAGAATGCGACTTTAAATCGGGCTGGATCCGAACCCGCGACGCCGCCGCCTGCGTAGGTGCAGTCGGAGCGTGCAGCGCGAGACAGCAGGATGGTCCGCGAGATGACAAACGTCTCCGTCTCCAATTAGATGGCGCGATAGCGTATCGCGCCAGACATCGGGTGCACCCGTCCGAAATGGGACTGGGTGCTGGCCGCTGACGGTGACAGATGTCATATGGCTGACATCTGACGCTAAATGACAGACAAGGCATCGCCGCGATGATCAGGATTTCTGCTATTGTGTCGAGACAGTCTGCGTGAAAGGCGTCACGCGCTGAGAATTCCTGCTCGGACATTCACAATCATATCGAGCTGTCGATAGAATGACTACGTTGTCGATAATACCGGACACAGCCCATCCGTCCGGTGAAATCTCTGTCTTGTAGCGCGATTCGCGATCCGTAAATTAGAGGCCAGGGAAATTACAGTGAGGCAACGTCCTTCGACATTGATTCAAAAATTACATTCATTTCCACACCGGGTATCACCGGGGTTAACCCGCATATCTCAGCTCTGATTAGATGGGAGGCCGTTCGATTTCTAATAAATTCATACACCATTCGTAGGCGTGACTGTCTTTTCAATTATTCCGGCGAGGGAAAAACATTTGTGATCAATCGCCATTGTTTCTGTGCGTGCAGCATCCAAACAATGATGTGTCCAGTGATTGCGTGTCGGCCGGGGGCGGCACGGGTCAGCAGGGCGGGTGCTGCATGCGATATGGACCCCGTGGCGGTGCGCCCTGCCCAGCAGAGGGCAGAGGTCATCGCCGCAGAACTCACTGACCCAAATATCAGCTGATCGCCGTGTTGGTGCCGTTCCCGCCGAGGTGAGATGCCGAGATCAGAGGCGGCGCAGATTGTTTCGGTCTGAAGAGCTGTGGTATCAGACCAGGGGCGTCGCCGTGTCCCACGCCCGACGGCGCGCCCGCTCCCGCGGATGGCGTCACGCACCAGTCAGGGTGACGGCGCTCCTGTCACTTCCCGCCGTCCCCCCGTCTCAGTTCGGCGGCCATGGGCCGCTAATGTTCCAACCCAGAGGGCAGTTCATTAAAACCCGCCGGGGCACGAACAAAGCTCCCGCGGGGGTGGGCCGTGACTGCGTCGACCGGATCCCAGCACTCCACGTCACCCGTCACTCACGTGACTCGGCACACGGTGTGACGGTCTGTGCGTCACCACAGAGTGTCTGTCGCTTCCGGCTTGCGCTGCCAAGTCTCCATCCGACCAGCGTTGTCCGGCTGCCAAGAATCCAACCAGTCTCGTCTCTGTGCCAGGAGCGGAGCCGCCCGTCCCGTGCCAAGCATCCAGAGCAGACGCTTGACATCAGCCTCACGTGCGTGCACATATGAGATTGTCGCCTGGCGACCGCGCCCAGATCGCTTCCAGACACCATCTGGCGTCGCAGGGTCCAGACACGCGAGCAGACAGGGCCGCTAGCTGAGAGTGTGGCGCTGCACGGTGAGAGCGGAGAGCGCTGAGCGGCCCTGATCGGCACGTGTCCGATAGAGGCGGCCGTCAACGCCTCTCCGCGCGCAGAGAGGCCGATTGTCAGCTCCCTCCGAGCGGCACTCGTGCGCTCTATTCGTGCAGCGGAATGCAGCAGGAAGGTTTCAGGCGGCGCGATTCGCTGAATGGGGCCGGTATCGGACGTTTTTTTTCTGTCGGCTCGACACTGGACACGTGGTGGTTATGGTCGGCCTCCGTCAGCCAGCGGGCGACCGCCTTCATTAGCAGCTCTTCCGGTGGGCCGGCAATTACCGCCGAGCAGCGCTTTTTTCTTCGCGGCGTGTTTTTTATGCTGCGCGACCGGCGACCCTCATGGGCTTCAGAGGCCTACGGCGGGCCAGCTGCTCGGCTCAAAGAAACGGGACAGGGTCGCCGGGCTGGATAGGTATTATCACGGTTGTGACATCCAGCGCGCCGGGACGGGGCGTGGTGACAGCTCGGGGAAGACGAGAATACGACCGGCACCAGCCTCGCCAAAGGAGATTGGAGTGGTTATGATAATAGCCGCGCCGAGCGCCGGGCCCGGTGTGTCATCAGCTGCCGCCGAGGGGTGTGGCGACACGAGCCGCCGAGGCCGTCGCGGCGCGCTGTGTCGATTGTGACGCAGTACCGCTCACGACTGGTGCCGTCCGGTGACGGAGCGGCGCGGGTCGTGTCGTCCCGCCGCGGCAGAGTCTCAGCCGCGCGCCTCCGACACACGGCCGGTGATGGATGCGCCGGGGAGCGGCCCGCTGTTCCGGGGACAGCCGCCGCGGGAGTGTCTCACCGTGGGACACTGGCTCTCCCCCGCACCGCACTCCTCACCTACCCACTCACCCACCCACCGACCCCGCGTGTCGCAAACCTGCGCACATCTCCCGACACCACGCGCACCGCGAGATGCAGCCGACCGGAGCGGTAGCCCGACGGGCGTGAGCGGAAAATTAAAACGTAATCATATGCCGCCTTAATGGGTCATCCATTGTAGCGTTAATCGCGGAATGTCGTGACCGTCGACAGAGGCGTTTGCGCCGCGCTGCGCCGATCGAGACGCACTCCGCCGGAGGAGTCGCACCGCCAGGGGTCAGCTGGGTCACGGGCGGGTCAGCGGCGGGTCAGCGGCGAGGCGCGCGCGGCGCTCAGGCGTGTCGGCACCGCCGGCAGCAGCACGCGCCCGGCTCACTGGCCTGGATTAGAGATGAGCTCTGCGGCCAGAGGATGGCACGGTCCGCCGCTTTATGCAGAGCCCTCGAGCGGATGGCGCACTTCCGCTGACCGTGCTCGTCGTTGTCGCATTTAGGTATTGGATCTCCCTTTCTCTTCTCTCCCTCCCTCCCTCCCTCCCTCCCCCTCCCTCTCTCTCTCTCTCTCTCTCTCTCTCTCTCTCTCTCTCTCTCTCTCTCTCTCTCTCTCTCTCTCTCTCTCTCTCTCTCTCTCTCTCTCTCTCCGTCTTTCATCGACAGTTCCTGAAGTTTGTTGCGTAGATTACCGGACTCCTGCTACTGGCCTCCACTGCAGGCTCAAAAAGAACCTCTTAGCTATTCAATGATAACCAATCCGCAGTATTCATGTGATGAATAACGTCTGGAAAGCCACCGCTCCCCCGCCACCTTCACATCCCCATGCATCACCAGGTGTCTGATGTCATGTGACATCTGACGTCATCAGTGGATGCAGCTCTCTATCACAATACGTCACACAGCGTCACCGAACTTCACCGTCAGCCACCGGAGCCCGCGGTCCCCACCAGCCTTGTCTCCTCCACCACAGTTCCCGTACGCAATGACGCGTCAGATTATCATATCTGCGGCCGGATCGGCGCCGTGTGCAAATGTGGCGCACCTGGGCGCCGATAGTGTCACAGCCATCACGCATGCGCGGTGGCCGGGCCGTGAGAAAGTGTCGCCTGTCCCTTGGTCGGGAAGGGCGATCGGTTCAGGGTCTGAGAAATGTCTCCGAGGAGCTGTGGACAGACAGAGGCACACTTCTGTCGCTCTGCCGCCAGGTTGGGCAACAGTCGTCGTTCCCACGTCTCAGCTCTCATATGAAGCCTACCCAGGGCACTTTCCGTTCCGATTTCGTTCCACTGAGAAATCAGCCTGGGAATCGTCACAATTAGATTCTTGTTCTGTGAGCTCGAGCTTGAGATCGGTGCGGAGATTCAGTTGAAAGCGGCGCGCCAGAGCAGCAGACCTATCGATTGATCAAATGCAAAAGCACAAACATCACGCTCGTTGTCTGATATGGCATAACGAGGGATACGCCTCATCAGGCATCATGACGGACTCGGTACCACCTCGTTACGGCCTTGCAGCCGGCGCCGGCGGTGGGCGGCGGTGACGGTGCGCTCGGCAGGACCTGGGCGGGCCCGTGACCACGAGACTCGTCCGCAGAGGCGGTGCAGTGGCGGTGCCGACGACGTGCCATAAGCGGCCTGTCGAGCGCGGGTCGCCAGCCTGCAGGCGCCTCTGCATTCTTCTGCAGCGACTGCGGCGACCGCCCGGTCCCGCCCGGAACCCTCCCGCTGTCCGCCCCGGCCCGCCCCCGGCCGACAGTCCACCACCAGAGCTGCCCGGTACCAGTTCAGCTCTCCGTCTCACGGAAAAATGCCATTGCTGCCTCGCCCGGTGGCACGCCGATGACGGCGGAAACATTAACGGTAGCGGCGCCGGAACATTTGCAAAGGCTCTGACCGCCCGCGGCTCGGCAACGCGGCGCGGGCTTCTCTAATGAAAGCGAACGGATTCTTGGGTAGGAGCCTACATCCGGGACCCGGCAACACCTGATTTGTCTGGTTTTGATGAGCCGGCGCTGGATAATCACGACCGGCACGAGCGTTTCGGTCATGACGCGCCCGACTGATGCATTATTCTCCGACACCCGGCCCGGCCACCTGGCGGATACAGCGGGTGCCGGTGTCCCCCGCGCCCCGGCACCCCGGCGACCCGCCAACAGCGCGCCGGCATACTGATGACGACCTTTTCTCCTGTTGCAGAGGTGAAGACGCGCACCAACGAGCCGCACGAGCACCCGGTGTACTGTCCGATCAGCGGCCGCTTCTCGTTCTCGTACGACATCGACGACGGAACCGAGAGTGTCACCGAGTGCGCCAACTCGGACTCGCAGATCTCCAACTGTCCGCTCGGCTTCGGACTCCACCTCAACTTCAACGGCTGCGCGTTCCGACCCAACTTCAGTAAGTATACCGCTGACCGTTTGTTCGTGTTGTGTTGAACCGCCGCTGGGTGCGCCCGCCGGAACTGGCCGCTTGTAAAGAACAAACCGAGGCTATATCGCCCTGTTAATCCCTCCAAGTACGCCGTGCAAGGCCGGGCCGAGTCATTTTTACCCGCTCGTGTCTGGCATATATCTCTCTCCGACCGGACGGTGCAACGGAATCAATCGGCGCCCCTGTCGTGCACAGTTATCTGGCAGTAACAGGATTTCGTTTTGCAGACATGACCTTCCAATGTCTCGGCGACTGGGAGGACAGCAACGGAAACAACTTTATGGCGCTGCTCGACACGGAGGCGTCGGATGAAAATCGGCCGCGCTATCGGTGTGCGGTGAGTACCCTGCTGCTTTCCTTTGGTGGTTCGCTGGGCGGGATCTGATGTTTACCGCGGTCATAAAAGGGTGCCGAACACAGTGAAAACTGTGGATATACACCGTTAGGAAAGGTCATGTCGGCTGTAATTCTCGGGAGGTTGTTAGCCGATGCTTGTGTACACCACGTCGTGACTTGTTGATGTAGCGGTTTTCCTATTATCGAAGGGAACTCACGGATGTAGGTAAGTGGTATCTCGCATGACACGAATCACCGAATTCATTGGTTACAACCTGTAGTAGGCTGGGAACATTGTTAAGCCGCTTTTTAAGCACGGCATTATCTTAACAAGAGCACGCATTAGCCATACACCGACACGAAAGCTGTTTATCTCGAGACGCTAAGCCAGCAAACCGCTTAGCCACAGTGATGGGAGCGGTTCGATTCGAAACAGTTTCATTCTCCCGCCCACCGAGCTCCGAAACTCGTCTTATTAAGCTATCTTGTGGCACGTAGCGTGTCAGATTTCGTGACTGGAGTCGGCTGGCGGCGCGGTGGCCCTCGGAGGGCCGGTCTCCTCAGATGGACCGCGATCGGGCCAGGACCGGCGATGTGCTGTTTTTGTCGCCCGCGATGGGGCCGATCGGAGGCGGCGCAGGACACGGTCCACCACTTAAAACAGACGCCCATTAGTCGAGTCTGAATGCCAGCGGTGGGCGCGGGCTAGTCCGGAAGGTAAAACGTCCGTCTGAGCGCGTCTGTCTGTGCGAGCGACCGCCGCGAGCGGCCGCGCCAGGGTCGGAGCGGCGCGTCGTTAGTGACGCCGCCGCGGCAGAAGTGACGCGGTGGTCTGATAAATCGGCGCTCGTCTGCAGGGGCGCCTCTGAGAGCGGTGCGGTGGCCGGCCGCGGCTCGTCCGCGGACCGCCCCCGGATCATTAGTGAAGATGAGTTTTAACAATAGCCCGGCGAGACCGGTCGACATCGAGTCAACTACCGCCAGCCGGGCGACCTCAGTGGCGGCAGTCACGCTACCGGCGGCTTCATGGCGCTTTTTGGCGTGCTCGGCGGCGGTTTTTACCACCGGCCGTCGGAAATGCCCCGCCGTGCATCTAAAGGGACACGCGCTGTGGGCGACAATGTCGGGGCGTAGCCGCGCCGCCCAGGGCTGTCAGCCCGGCCCGCATCGACCGCACCGTGCCGGCTTCCATCCACACGTCCCACCACCCTTCCGGCTCTGATAGGATTTACCGGTCCACATATCGGTAGTCAGCTGACACACCGCGCAGTCAGCTGCTGCGGCGACAGACGCGCCGCCGCGGCGACAAATGAAGCGGCGCACCGTTAGGAGGCCGCGCTTCCGCCTTTTGTTGGAAATACGTTTGTGGCTGCCGTCGACTGCCCCGCTGCGTCAGCGGCGGCGGCTTTAATCACGAAATTGTCCGTGGCCGGCTCAGCTATCTGCTCCAGTTTCCACAGCGGAACTGCCGTCGATTGTTCGACCAGAGGACGGCGGATTTCGAATTTGTGTCACTCACGGTATTTCCCAGGCTGTCGTTCGGACTCGCCGTGTCGCTGACCGCTTTGGTCGTCGTTTGGCGGTTGCGGTGCGCCGTTCGCCGCCGCCGTCGGTCGCCGCGTCCGCCGGCTGGAGGATGCCGATGGGTCGCTGCACCCGGTGCCGATGGTATTCGTGTTGCACGCTCGGGGGCCGACCGCGACCTCAGAGTTTCCTGCTCGGCGTTATTATAAGATCATCAACACGACCGGTGCGCCCGGCACACGGCGCTGCATCGCTGGAAATAATTGCGACCTCATTTCCGAAATGACCGGCCGCAACGTCGTTGTTCGTTCATTTGGTGGCTTTCGGGGCGGGCTTTGATGAGTTGCCTTTGCGACACGGTCACACACTGTCGGCTGCGCGCGCGCGGCACCGCGCTCCGACACCGTCTTTAGCGGTCGTTCGCTCAAAGGTTAGGGCTAAGAATGCTAGGCGGATTCTGTTTACGAGAACGAAAGCTGCCCACTGTTGCGACACATGCGGTGCATTCACATTGTTGTCACTCAACTTTCTTGTAGAAACGTGCACAGCTATGTTGCGACAGCATCTTCATGCGGTTTGACTAGACTAAACTGATAAACTACATTCGTTTTCCATGTTTCATTATTGTAAAATATCCTTTCTAGCACGGCCATCGCGACATCATTCCTCTGCTGCGCTAACCTCGGTCTGCGTCAGCTGACTGCACCGTATCGGAATGTGACGGCCCGTCACGGGCCGTGACGGATGTCCGCCGGACGTGACGCGACGGCCCCGCCCGCGGATGGGTGGCCTCTAACCGACACCCTTCCCCTCTGTCCGACAATCTGTCGCGACACGCGTGTCCGCCACGCTTCCGGAGACCCGGGTAATCTCAGACTCGCGACCCTCCCCGACAAACAATGGCAGATAGGCATCTCTTCAATTAGCGCGTTTTTCCCAGAGTTTTCCATCATTTAAGCCGCCATCTAGATGGGTATCGGACTTTCCTTACACGTTCCCGAGACGGCTCCCTGTAGCTTTGGTGAGATTTCCGACGGCGCGAAGGGCTACCGGTAGGGACCGCGCTGGCGCCGCCGGTGTGGCCACCCAGACATGCGCTCCTGCGTGGTCGGGCGGTGCAGGGGTAGGGGAGGTCGACATCCGGCGGGCGGCGCGCTCCCTCGGCCACCCCCCGCCGCCGCCCCCGCTGGCGCCCGGTGCCATTACCTGTCGGCGCGGCGGCTGACCAGCGAGCCGAACAGAAGGGCAGGTGTGCCCACGGCCGACCTCGACGACGTCCAGTCATCGCTCGCTCGGCCTTGTCGAACTGAAGCCGAGACGGCGCGGGCCACCGCAGCACCACGGATGGTGGGCCGGCGCGCGAGCTGTGACCGCGCACACCGGCGGATCAGTGAGCGCTGAACCGACACACATTGAGGGGAGCGGGGTGTGCGGGTGGCCTTGGCGCCACAGCTGTGTGATGTCACCTGGCGTGGCGGTCACCGGCACTGGGCGGGGCGCACAGAACAGGACGTGCACATGCAAAACAGCTGGCGCCCGGCCAAACGCATAGTTCAGTGACGGGTGAGTCGGGACTGCGGCCGGGGATTCAAGGGTGATGGAAGTGGTACAGGAGCTTAGCGCGCCCATATAAGTCATATCCCTGTCGCTAGGACGTTGACGGAAGTTAGGAAGGCACGTCATACGCCAGGGAATGTTGCCACTCTCCTCGTGACTAACTTTATCCTAATGCATATGCGAAAGGCGCCTTCGGATCACCACGTTCATACGCTACAAGATATTTGCCGGGAGACATCATGCTCTGTTTGAATATTCCACACCACCGGCTGGCCGACCAGTTGCATCATTGCATCATTGATGTCGTGTCGGTCAGCCGCACAGATGTACCGGAAACGGTCCGCCGCTGACCGCTGACTGGTGTGTCGGACGCTGACCGGTCCGGTGTGTCGGACCCTCTCTGACGTCCCCGTCCCGTCTGTGTCCCCGTCTGACTGTGTCTATGTGTGTCTCCAGATGTACCGCAAGGAGGCCGGCACGGGCCGGATCTACGTGGCGCTCTCGTCGGACTCGTCGTGCCACCGTCACCTGGAGAGCGCCACGCGCGGCTACGAGCGGCTCGTGCTGCAGCCGGCCGACAGCCGGCCGTGGCCTCTGGCCGTCCGACAGGCCACCTGCACACTGCCCGACTGGGCCCAGGGCGTCTGGCAACACTCACACGTCGACGGCGACACCATGGTCTACAAGGACGCCAAGAACTTCAAGACGCACACAACCCGCTGTGTGGCGCAGCATGACCAAGAAAAGTTCGTCATCTACTCCCGCTCCCAGTGGTAAGAAGCATTTCCTGCATTGTTCTTGCGTGACGTAATTCAACGACTCTCTTTGCAAGTCATTACTGCCTGCGAACAACCGATGTTTTTATGCATAAATTTCTTCGACGTTGGCTTGTCCGGTCGGCTTGGCACCCTGTAATCAGGCGCCTAATGTCCACGCATCCGCCGATGTACAGATTAGCGTCCCGGGCTCCGGAAAGCGAGGCCCAAATTCTTGCGCTGCTGCATGTCTTGACGAGCTTATGCAGTTGGCGATGGCACGCGTGATATGACGCTGATAACCACAGGCACGCGAGAAGGTGCTAGTGCGCAAATGCGCGAGGTGATTATGTCAGTTTTTGACCGTTGTCAATGAGTTGAGCGCTGCTGTTGTTACGTCATTCTAATGGATATGTTCTCTTCGACAGTGGCGAGGAAGTCTACAACTGCGTCTGGCTGAAGAGGCGAGGCACCAACGTGCTGGAGTTCCAGCTCGGTGAGTAACTCGCTCGCTCGTTCTCCCTGCGTCACATCCGGTCTTACCAGGTCGACCAACATCGTTACTATGCGCCACCAGTCTTGTGAACATAAGAGTTGCATCACCCGATGTTTCTGATACAATCCTACGACGTGGGTGCCTCGAAGGTCTGCCGGCTATCACTTTCGATCCATTTCGGGGAGATTTGATATCTCATCACCATTGCGATGTAAGGCGATAGGCCGGACCACCGGACCGCTGCTGGCGACGGGCGCTGTCTCCCACCTCTGGCGGCCACGCGCCGCCACGCGCGCGGCAGCTCATTGCGGCGCTCATATGAATCAGTTAGCTGCCAATGGAAGGCGGGCCACAGGCGGTGCCGAGGAATGTCTCGCCCTGGCTCGGCGGGGCGGAATTAACGAGACGCTTGTTAGCATAGAGGTGGCTGCCCGGCCGGCCGGCCGGCCGCCGCGACTCGAACCGGGTCAGGCCTGTTTGTTCTCGGCGCTGAAAAGAATGGTAATTGGGCGCGGCTTGGCATGCGCCGCCGGTGTCTGCGCAGTGAAATACAAATCACTTCCGACACCAAAACGCCCAAAGCCGGCACCAGTTTTTGTGGTGATAAAGACAATTTTAAACACGACTGCCACAATTTTTAGTGGGATGCCGCGATAACGAATAACAATGGGCTGCGTCTTTGACCTCAGCTGCACGCACAAACCGTCCGCTAGTTACCGTTGCATTGAGGTGCTGTTTCCCTGATCAGCTAAAGTGTGGGCTTTTTATGGATGCCCCACTTACGTGAGGTGAAAGAATCGCAGGTCTAAAAGAATCTAACATGCAGCCTCCGGGTCTCTATCAATCGACCACCATTATAAATCAATCATGGTTATGTAATAAACGAAGAGAGCTTCGAGTCTAGAGCACACTCTTTCGACAGAGACGTGCAACTTTCTGCAGTTTGGTCAATATTCCTGCCTGACCTGTGTCTTGTGTTCCAGGTTTGAGCCCTGCCAACGAGCCGACAGACGACATGTGCGAGCCTCACCAGTTTCTGGAGACCAGCTGGATCACACAAGGAAGTGAGTCACCGACACCCGCCGCGCACACCGCAGGTGCTGACGTGTTGTGACACCGCGCGCCGCGTGACACACAGACACACACCGACAAACAGCGCGCTAATGCGACACGGTACATTGGGCGGTCCGTTCACTGGGGGCGCCAGCCTGGACACAGCCAGACAGGCGGACGTCGGAGACAATAGAGACGACAGGGACTGTAGGAACAACAGAGTGAGGACACCTCGGTGTGACTGGGATATCGCGGCCGGCCCACACAACAAGGACACAGCGGCGAGGAGGCGGCACCTCCGCGCGACAACAATGAGCCCGCAACAAGGCGGCGAGACCGTCGCACGCGCTGCGCACGGGCTCCCCAGCGGTCGGGACTGTATGGTTCCTCGGCCGCACCGCGCTGGTTTGTGCGGAGCAGGCCGGCTGGAAAACGGGCGCACACTTGGTCGCATTAGCGTCAGCTCTCATCTGCGACGGTTGCCTGAACGTTTGATAAGCCGTTTATCGTAATCCGCCAGACGCCGGTGGTAAGCGCGCGTCCGCCAGCCGCCGCGGTGGAACGGAGACCGGTGATGTTGTTTCTCACGCTTCATTGAACTCATTGCTGGCTCTCCACTCGCGCATTGGATGTTCACGCATCGTGCGCAATGCGTAACGATGCATTGGTACTGTGCGCTGAAAGCTCACGCCACATCAAAGCACTCGCGCGGAATCAAAGCCGGAAATGCTTTTGCAAAGGATTGGCGTGGAATTGGCTGGCGTGAAGACCGCTGACATCCTAATTTTCGTCGGGCGCCGCGACGACAAGGGGTGCCGGGCGGGGACCACCCACCAGGGAGGTGGCGCCGGGACCCTCGCCGCTCGCGACCGCCCAATCAGCGAATTCCCGCACCCCTCCGCCTTCCCGTGCCGCCCCGCTGTGCCGCGTCGCGGCCAAAGTCGAGCCACGCCCGTCTGCGGGGGATCGGAGCGGCGCAGTTTTCCCGTCCCCACGGCGATTCTATCGGGCCTCGGCGATAGTATCGTGCTAATGACAGAAAGGGGCAATCCATGGGCCGAAAGGGCTTAACCTGTCCCCAGCCAACGTCTTTATCCCGACGACAAAAAAATAGCCGTCTGGCCAGGTGAGCTACAGGTTGATTGGGTCATAGATTTAAAGGTTTTCCAGCGGTCAGTCGGCACAGGAAACGGCTCGCGGAGCCGAAAGAAAGCCGCCTTTTCCCGGATTCGGAACGTCCGACCAGTTTCTGCGCTCTGAGTAGGAATTCCCGGGCGACGAGGAACATACGCGCGCCGCAACTTGTTTCCGCTCCCAGCTCGTCAACTTACCGGTCGGGATTAACCTCTTCATCAAGTGACCAGGATGTTCTGTGAGCACCGTCAGCACTTTAACACTCACCCACACACCTTTCCTAATGTGGTGCGTTTGGTTTCTGCAGGGAAGCAAATTCACCAGGAGGCCTCCTGTCCCGTTGCCGGAGAGTACGAGGGCGTCATTCCCGAAACTGGAGACCAGCTGTGCGCCAAGCTCTACTCGGACTGCAACAACCCGGACATCATGTTCTACACCGTCATCAGCTGCGAGAACGCCTCGGACATCTACGAAGGTAAGCGACTGCATCTATTTCACTTCGCCGCAACTCTTCTGCTTACCTGTTGCATGCTGTATAAAAGACATTCAGGTAACTGTCCAAACCCAACTGGTGTCCGGTGGAACGTGGCGATGGGCTCACGACTTGGATGGGGTAGATAGGGGCATCCTCTTTTCTTGTAATCGGCGTTTTTGCTGAAAGCCGCTTCAGGATTCGTCAACCGCGATCAGATTTAAAGATTGGGATCAGTCTTAGCTTTTTTGTTGAGGCGCCAGATTATTGGGCATTTATGTCATGAGATAAACGCTCATGAAGTAAAGCTTCGTCATGTCAAAATTCCTGGAAGAGAAGCGGCTTTCATCAAAACACATTTCGTTGCCTTTTGATAACTTGCTAATTCTTGTGTGTAACTTTTGACTAACTCTTGTCTATCTGTCTTGTCCGGTACTTCGGCTGTCCATATTTGGTGACGGTGAGCTGACGGGTCGCTGGTTTCAGGCGCCAGCACTGTCTCATCCCGACCTCCTCTAATCCGCCCCTCTCCTCCTTCCCCCTCCCCCGTTCGGACGCGGTCACACCGCCCACTGGTTCTGACCGCTCTGCCGGGCCGGCCGCGGCTCCGGCCGGTGCGGGGTGCCGCACCCGGCCAGTCCCGTCGCCCGCGCCGCCAGCGTCGTCAGTATCCGCCGGCGCCGCCCCGACCGGAGGCCTACGACCGCTGGGTGTCCTCCCGGGGACGCGTCGCCACCTCCACCCCCGTCCTTCCCCCGCCGTCCGCGGAGCCAGAGGACTGGCCGTGGTCGAGTCCGGTGGGCAGCTTCAGCGGCGGACAGGCGATACGAGGGCCCGGTGACCCGCGAGGCGCGACCTCCCGCATCGCGCTGTCGCCGCCGCTGTCCAGGTTCAGAGAAGGTAGTCCTTCGTGATGTGAAATCTCGGAACGCTTGACGCCACAGCACGCGAAGCACAGCAAGATAGTCACGCACATTGCAAAACATAGGCACGACAGCGTGCCGTTGGCGCGGGTCACCTACAATTCACCGCAATTAATATTGACAACTTTATGCCGCAATCGAATTTCGGCCAGGATGGACAACGATTCGGGACATGACATCCGTGCCCTGTGCCGGCCAATAAAACAGAAGCAGACCATCCAGAGGAAGCGAGAGCGAGGGACGGTCTCCGGGCCCTAACGGGACCGATGCTCTCTAGAGCGGAACGTCTCTGCATTGTGGCGCTCCGGGTCGCACCGCTGGAGGTTAACTCTCCGTGACCGCACCACCCACCTCGAGCACCGACTGTTTGTCGTTTGGAGACCCCCGACCTCACTGTGCCCACTGCACCCGCAAAGCCCGCTTGTAACTCCCCATCAAAGAAACACCCGTCAAGCTCACACCCCACTTTGCTGACGTGTCATCACTCCAGTGAGCATTTATGCTACACTTGAAGTGTTTAAGTACCGGCTTTTGTCGTTTCCAAGTAACGCCACGAATGACTGAATGTCTTATAAAGTCGTCATTTTAATTCCACAGTGGCTACTAATCCATCTAATTTCATGTCACATTTCACGCATCGTTCGCTCGGCCTCAGTCCACACCTCGGCCTAAAGATATGGAGCCGGCGCTTTCACCTCGGCTATCACGCGTACCAACACATCCAAAACTAGGCGAAGACGCTATGTTAAACACTGCCGTAAACGCCTAATGACCCACGCAAAGTGTGTCGGCCGTCTCGGGCTGCATATTTTCTGCGTTTCTCGAGACAATCATTTCCGCCTATGGTGTCGGAAAAGGCGCGAGCCACGTTCCACTTTGGCGTCAATCATGCAGATTTGATACGATCGGACCTGTCAGAAAATCAATTATGGTCTGTAAACATCATTACAATATGAATGGCAAATTATCTGTGTGGACTGAGTGGTAATTGGCGCTGGCTGGAGGGACGGTTGTGGTGAGTCGACTCACCGCGGTCCTGCGATAATACAGCCGCCGAGAGTACACACGCACACACACACACACAAACACGGGCGCCGGGCGCACCGGTGGCAAATTGGCCGATGGTGCTGGGCGGTGCGCCGGTCGGACCGGCTTTGTCTGCAGGGAGTGGCTGCGGCACAGGAGGGCGGCCGAGGGAGAGGAGGGCGGGGCGCCACCAGCAGCCTCGCCCTGCCTTTCCGCCGCGTGCGCACTTCCGGACACACAAGCGGACACACACATACCCCCCCCCCCCGCACACACATCGAGCTAGTTTGCTCTGGTCCGGCCGCCCGGAAGCGACTGGCCCGGCGAGGCGAGGGAGGCCCGGTTTGGTCTGCAGGTTCACAGGCGCCGACATTGCGCCAGACGGTCGGCGTGGGATCGGCCGGCCGGACCGGCGACCTTCCGCGAGGTCACGAAGCCGGTGTTCTGTCCACTCAACCGGCCGACAGCGGCTCCGCGATATCGGCCTCGATCGAATCCCGTGATCGCCAGCGCGGCTGTCATTCCTGACTGAGTGCGCCGACATGAGAGAGCACTCGTGAGCGGGCGGTTACGGCGTTTTTCTCACCACGGCGCGCGGTGGGGCGGTGCCGCTCCGGTGCCGACTGTTCCCAGGTGCGGTCGGCCGCCGGCCGGGCACGTTCCTTCCAGTGACGGCCGCCTCTCACCATTACCGAGCCGCCTCTGAGAAACGACTGCTGCCGACGACCGGCGCGCGCGGGCCGCGAGGCCGCCGCCGCTGGCCGCGCGGGACCGCGGACAGAGACCGGGTCTGGACGAGTGCTCTGAAGTCTGCTCTCGGGCTTTGGAGCATAACGATATCTCGCTAGTATCCATGTCGGTAACCGGTTTATCCCCTTTGCCGTCGAACGAGGTAATCATGAGCTTGTATCGAGCCATCATTCTCATTAGTTGTAATGACAGTCTCAGAGGTTACCCAAGTCCCAAGGGCCTTCAGGAATCGTGTAGAAACAATCACATCGGAGCAGTGTGACAATCGCCACCATTAAGCCCAATCGGCTATCATTAGTCTAATCTCTCTCATTCGTCTTCCGACGTGCGCCGTTTCCCGTCGCGACTGAGGCATTACCACTTCCAGGAGCGCGGTGCCGACATCGGTTTGTACCCGGTAATGACGCCCGTGGCCATCCGGTGAGGCGCACTTTTCCTGACGGGCTCGCAGCGCGGCCTGTCGCCGTCGTGAGACCGTTTTCCGTTCCGCTGCGGGCTCCTGCGGCGCACCGCGCGATCGGGAAAAGTGAGCCACTGTCACCGGCGCGTGAGCTCGGCGTCGCTCGTGGACCACGAGACACTCGCGGCGCGTCACGCCTCGCCGCGGCAAATGCGACGCGGCGCGGGGTCACTGCCGCCTGAGGAATGCGCCGAGTCGGCTGGCGGTGACACTGCGGTGTGACGGCTTTTCTCGGCACTTTGCCGCTCGAATCAGAGTGCATGCCAGCGTGGGGCTGCCCAGGGCAACGCGAGGCGTCACGAAAACTCACGGAGGAGCTCGGGGCCGAGTGACGTCTCTGCGGCGCGGAGCGATGACACGATGACGCGACGCGATGACCCGATGAGGCGTCACATTGCGGGGCACGACACCAGTGGCTGGTTGGTGGCCGCGGGTGGCGCGGGATGCCTCTGTCGATTGGACGACACGACCGCGCGGCCATGAATAGTGCGGTCACGACGCCCGCCTCTCTCATGGTTATGCTCTGAGGGCTGCTCCGGCGGGGAGGGAAGGCCGCATCGCTCCGGAGATAGGGGAGGTCGTTTTTAGGGCGGTCCCGGCGGTTCTAAATAATGCCCCGCACGGGCCTAACCACCTCTTTACGGCACGTCGGCGCTGATTCACGGCTATGAAATGCGTCAGGGTTTCTCGGACGCCGCTCGCGGCACGCCGATCGGATGTGACGGGCATTGCCGGCGGAAGCGATTTCTCTTGCGCGGTGAGTGTGCATTCCGGTCACTCATTGCCAATCGGCGCCCAGCCGCGGTGGCACTGCTTGACACACCCTCCCGGCGGCTATTGGCCGTAACTGAGCCGCTGGGGAACTCCGGGCGCGAGCGGGTTCTCGCCGCTCGCCAGACGGCTGGCTTTTTGCCAGCTGCGGTCGGGTCGTTAGATAGAGGCTGGCTGCTGAATGTCCGTCAAGACAGCCCCTATTCAGCCCAGATTCAGCCCGGATTCAGCCCAGATTCGGGACACCTCCGATCAAGCTGAAACTCGCACACAATGTAGGCCATGACATGCCCAATCCACAGTCCAAGTCATTCGGTGGCACTCCCAGCCGTTTGACCTAGAGAGGTCAGCAAAGGTCACGTGGCCCAAATTTGCACAGCAGATTGTGGCCCACCCAGTAGAGCTAGAGCGCTAAAAATGTCACCAATCGACTCGCCAGCATCTAATCTTACTTTCCCAACACTCATTTGACCTCTCAAGGTCATGCGATGACCTAAGGTCATTTGTGGGCTATGTCGAAAATACACTTGCACAGCAGTTTTCGAGTAGATGGATTGACCGAATTCCAAATCAAAGCACATCATCGGGTAGCCCATAGACCGTAGTAACTTTCCTTCAAAACCGCTTTTCGATATGTGACCCCGTTTGACCTCGGCAGGTCAAAATGTGCAAATAAACGACACCCAATACGTCGCAGCCCGGATTCAGCCCAGATTCGGGACACCTCCGATCAAGCTGAAATTCGAACACAATGTAGGCCATGACATGCCCAATCCACAGTCCAAGTCATTCGGTGGCACTCCCAGCCGTTTGGCCTACAGAGGTCAGCAAAGGTCACGTGGCCCAAATTTGCACAGCAGATTGTGGGCCACCCAGTAGAGCTCGAGCGCTAAAATTGGCACCAATCGACTCGCCAGCATCTAATCTTACTTTCCCAACACTCATTTGACCTCTCAAGGTCATGCGATGACCTAAGGTCATTTGTGGGCTATGTCGAAAATACACTTGCACAGTAGTTTTCGAGTAGATGGATTGACCGAATTCCAAATCAAAGCACATCATCGGGTAGCCCA